TGTGAGGGCCAGAGAAAAGAAGGTTTCCAGGGCTTACCGGCCACTGGCCTAGTTGCAGGTCAGTGAGAGGCCTTGTCTTAGGATGACATTGACAGAGCACGCCATCTGATGTCCTCCTCTGGCCTCTACAAGTATTTATAGGCACATGCACCCTTCTTCCACATATACATATCACACACACAGACACACACACACACATGTCTCATTAAGCAGTTGCTCTTCATGATGTACCCTCACCTACAGAGCAACCTCTGGTGTGTGCTCTGCCCTCCCCACAAGCTGACTTACTACACAGCCCACTCTTCTCTTCTTCTCCTCTCTCTAGCAATTCAGTTTGTTTTTTCCAGTCACTGGAGATCTTATGGATTGGTTCTTCTTTTTTTTTTTTTTTTTAATTCACTTTAGATCTCTTGGTTTCTTAAGAGCCATCCTTCAACTCCCTTGACTATCTTAAGAAGAGAAGGAGGTCTTAGGATTTGCACTGAAAGGATTTTACAGAGGAAATCGATGTTGCCCCACATTATGTTAGTTCATATAAGCCTCACATGTAAAACCTTGAAATTAAATATGATTTGCATAGCCTTGTCATGGAGAGGCTATTATTCATCTCCAAATCAAAGCTTAACAGTATAGTGAAAGACAAAGGACATCAATTTAAGGTAAATTGCAGCTGGATATATATAGGATCACACTTTATATCTTTACAAATACCAGGCAAATTCTGATATTTGTGATAAGAATGGCACAGTATTAAGGATTTGCTATTCATTGTATTTGGCTAAAAGCCATCCATATGAATGTACACTAGAATTTGGTATTAAACATCTATTGAAAAAAAAAGGCTTGTTTGGATTTGTTCACTTGGACTTGATGTATGATTTTTTTTTTGAGAAATTTAGAGTTAAAAGCGATAAAGGATATTCTTGCTTATAATAATTGTCCATGATAAGTCATTATTGCTCTTATAAATACACTGAAGCACACACTCAAGGAGACATCTGCAATGATTATTTGAAATTATATTTTAAGAATAATGGCATTCCCAAAGTAGAAAGAGCTTTTTATATGCTCGTATTACTGCTCCATGGGAACACCTAATAATGGCCTATGAGTGATTTGGGATAAGCCAAAGGCATAACTCAGTTTTTAAGTGAAAATGATGGAAGCTCTGGAAACACGTACAGTAACATTAGGACTGATACAATGTCACTTTTCAACTATCTGAACAATAATGATTTAAAATACAGATTATGGTTGAAGGGATGAGAGAGGGTTGGCTGAAGAAAAGAGTGAGGCATACAATAGGCCAGCCTGTGGGGAGCGCAGAGGACACGCCAGAGATTTTTCTACAGGTGAGGGCACATGAAAAGCACTTACTTAATGAAGTGTGTGTGTGTGTGTGTATGTGTGTGTGTGTGTGTGTGTGTGTATGAGATGCACATGTGGCAGGAGGGAACACATGTCTACAAACATAGGCTTGGAACACACGCACATGCCAGATCCAGCTTATGCCTCTTCACATTCTTCCCTGAGCTTTGGAGTGCTCCCCAGTGCTCACCAGACTTCACCAGTGGTCATCCCTTGCCTCTTGCTTTAGGTCAGCCTCATCCACTGGGAAATAGCAACACAAGGTTGGTGACTACGGTTTGGTAGGAACTGGCTTTTTCTACTAAAGACTGTGGTTGGAAGTGACCAGCCTTTTTCTACAGCCATAGTGCTTGAGACGTTCAGTTCCCGCTGCTGCCTGTACCCTTTCAGCTCCAAAGGTAGCATAACCTCTCACTGTTCATTCTTGAGAACTTCTTTATAAATTTTCCACATCTTAGCTAGACTTCATCAACTAACCCTGCTTTAAATCCCTTTAGACATTAATTTGAATTCCTACCCCTCTCTGCAAAAGATACTGAAGATGTGTTCCATTTCCTCTCCTAGGACCACTGGTGTTAACTCAGGACCTTAATCGAATGAGGACGTGTGCCATCCCAATAGGTTTCTTCTCACGTCCTTCTATAAAGAGTATCTACTGCTTCCATCACTCACGTGATGGAGGTTATTCTGATTTTCTCATTACTAAAAAGAAACACCCCTTTGGGGGTGGAGCTTTATTGGTAGAGTGCTCATCTACCATGCACAGTGTCCTGGATTTGATACCCAACAACACATAAACCAGGCATGGTGACATACATTTATACTTTCTGAAGATTAGAAGTTTGGTGTATCCTAGGCTACACAATAAAGTTCAACATCAGATTGGGCTACATGGAACATGGCTTCAAAAAATCAGAACAATCATGATGACACTCCTTCCAAAGAAAAAAATTGTACCCTTTTGGTGGCACACAGTCACATTAGCAATTAGGAGGCTGAGACAGGATGATCACAAGTCCTATACTTGCATGGGCTATATAGAGAGACTCTTACACAGACTCCCCCACCTCCTAAATGAAACTACCTTTTTTTTTCTTTGCCTTAGCTTTTTTTTTTTTTATTAATTACACTTTATTCATTTTGTATCCCCCCATAAGCCCCTCCCTCCTCCCCTCCCGATCCCACCCTCCCTCCCCTTTCTGCATGCATGCCACTCCCCAAGTCCACTGATAGGGGAGGTTCTCCTCTTCTTTCTGATCTTAGTCTATCAGTTCTCATCAAAAGTGGCTGCATTGTCCTCTACTGTGGCCTGGTAAGGCTGCTCCCCCCTCAGGGGGAAGTGATCAATGAGCAGGCCAATCAGATTATGTCAGAGGCAGTCCCTCTTCCCATTACTATGATACTACCTTTCTTTATTTCTCAAAGGGCATGACTTGGTTCATCCTGATCTCAAACAACTGGAGCTCTATATATGATCCAAGACAATCCAATTAAATTTAACATTAGGGCTTTTGTTGGAAGAAGTGGAGCACAGAGGCTTTGACTTAGAGGCAGCCAAGAGTAAGGAAGTAAACATGGAACGTTCAGGTCAAGCAGAGGTGAGTTCTTTGAGAGTAAATTATCAAAGTAGACAGGAACACACAGAGATGGAAAGGTGTGACTAATATGATTAAGTGAATCCTGGGCACACTTGAAGCTTATTCTGGGACCCAGGCTGCACAACACCCCTGTGCTCAAGCAGAGTTGATCATCTGTCACTTGAAACTGCAGGATTTATGCATAACAACCCCAGCCCCAAGAGAAACGCACCAGCGAAAGTAGATGGTGGTGAGTGTTAGCCACTGTGACTTTAGAAGTGTCAACTGTCCATGTTTCCTGCACTCCTCTCGTTAAGAACACTAATTTGAAATGTACATTTATATCAAGACCACAGAAATCTGTATGCAGAAATATTCCATCACCAGAGATTCCCCTAGGAGTCACAGTCACACAGCCGCACCCCCTCTTCTGGTCACCGTCCAAGCCAGCAAGATTGTGACAGGCTTCTTGAGATTTGCAGGCCTTATGATATTGAAGCTCTTAACATCTTCACTGTCCTTCAGTTCTCTGACATATTCGAGAGACGGGACAACACCAAACCAAACAACCCTCTCTGCATTGACCTTTGTGGCCCAGACCCATGGGCGGACAGAAGCACACAGAGAACAATGGTGGAAAAGAGCCGAACACTGTTCAGGTGTTATTTCCAAGTGCCATTTGACTAGGCCTTCTCAGGTGACAGGATTCATTGGCAGAAAAGCTGTTATTGCAACATCTCTAGTCCCATTTACCATCTATTAAAAGGGGAGTCATGGGGAGGGCAAACTGTCTCAAAGCCCAGTGATCGGACACACTAGAATACTGAAGGGACAGCAATCAGTTGTAAGAATGACAGCTAACGCTCAGTCCTTTTAGCCTTACTATCTCCAGTGCAGCATATCCTTTGGGAAAGAAAACTTTGCAAAAGAAAATCTGAGTGACAATTTTAATGTAATATGCAAAAACTTTTCTATGGCAGTTTCCCTCCATAAGGCACAACCATGTTTTCTTCATCATCATCATTATGTAATAGGAATATTTTTATATCTATTATATATATAAAGGCCAAACAGTGACACAGTCCACATTAGCCCATCTTCGCTTCAGAGATCTTGTTCATTACATTATTTAATTGCCTGATTTGTTAAAATGTCCAAGCTATGACTTTATGAGTTATGTTTACAGCATAAATTAAAGCTCCCACAGTTGCAACCGTTTGTTAGATTTTTCATCTTGTCCCTATTGTCAAATATATGTATGAATTCTTACACACACGTGTAAGAGTAGGTGGGGAATGTCTTGGAAAAAGAAGACTGGTGAAAGGCAGAAAGAAACAGGAAGTGTGAATATGATATATAAACTTATATAAAAGTCATTATAAAATCCATAATTTTGTATGAGAAGTGTATTCTAACTCATTTTTAAAACTGCTTACTGTTCCAGTATTGCTGTGCACTCATTATACATATGAACCTTGCCACTCCTACCTAGACCTGTAACCCATGCAAAATAGGTGCTCATTAAGAATGACATTAAAAACCTGGTTTTTAAAAAAATTTGAAGTAAAAAATAAGGTGGGCACAAATAAGCACATAGTAGTTGCTTAATAAACCTCGTTATTAATATCACTCCTGTCATTTGTAAACATAAGATTCTTAAAGGATCTATTTAATTCATGAGCAAGTTCATTAAAATCCACATAAAACCATTCGAGTAATCATTACACCTCTATTCCTCATAGATATTATATTAGAGCTTGAGTTTCTTTCTCTGCCTACCAGAGGGACACCGAAATCAAACTATCCATTAATCTGCTAATTCATCTAGTGAACAGTTAGGGACCTTGTGTAATTTGTCATATATTTGAAAGTATGCTAGAGAATGAATGATAATTAAGACAAATTATCCACATAGCGCCCTGCTGTGAGGTCTTCTAAGATGGAGAAGAAATTCAATTGACCTTAAGGAGAGAATGAGCCTATAGAATGAGGCAATTTCAGTGTGTGTTGGGGGAGGAACTTAGGAGCAACTGACAGAGGAGACACTTCCCTCACCTTTTCTGCAAGCCAGCCAAGATGCCTGATCTCGCGGCTGCCAGCAATGCCTGTCTTCCCCAGCTGCTCTCTGACGTCAGCAATCACTCGGGTCAGCAAGTCGCTAACATTGGAATGGATGGCACTGAACCAGGCTTGGGCAGTGGCTGAGTCCTTACTCCTCAGGATCACAGTGTGCTTAGCATCCGGCGAGTGAATTTCAAGCTGCCTGGGGAAGCAAACAGAGGAGTTACGGGGTGACCTCTGCTAGGTCTTGCTTCATCAAAGCCTGCCTTTCTGAGGTGAACACACTGTTTATTCTGGTTGTTTACCTTTATGGGTTCCACCACTTCTTCATTCGTGCATTCTTTTGTTCAAATAATCACCGGTTGCCCAGGCTCTGGTCTGTGTCTTTGGAACACTGTAAAATAGCATTATCGCAACCACCAAGTCCCTCAAATTAAGGATATCTCATTTTCCTGTGATGCAGCTGATGCTGAGATAATATTAATCCAGTTGCACAGAGGACTTTAATATCGCCTCCTCACCCCCACTGCTGCTGTGGTAGGAAGTAGCCTGCTCGTAACTAAAGACTGACCCTATTCTCCACTGTTAGCCAATTAAGATATTTTAAAATAAAAAAATGATCAGATTTCATAGTCTTTGACTTTCTTTCTTTTTGAGACAGGTTCTCATGTAGCTCAAACTGAGCCCCCAAATTCCATGTAAGTGAGGATGACCTTGAACTGTTAGTTCAAGTGCCTCCTGCACTTACCCTTCAAGTGCTAGGATTGTTCTTGTATACCACTACTCGCTGGTTGTCAAGCTTTTTATTCTTTTGGAACCTTGTTTGTGGCACACTTAACTATGACCACATCACCTATGCACATCTCATATTTAATACTGAACACCAAAGCTTATGCCAGAGTTCAAGTTGGACCACTTGACATACAGTGTAAATGATCTCTTTAGAGTATGTTAATGGTGGGTTGTTTTAGTTAGGCTTTGTGGTGGTTTGAATAAAAATGGCCCTGATAGGCTCATATAGTTGAGTGCTTAGTCATTAGGGAGCAGAGTTCTTTAATAGGACTAGAAGGATGAGGAAGTGTGGCCTTGTTTGAGGAAGTGTGTCACTGGTTTGGGGGAGGGTTGGCTGTGAAACTTTAGGGTTTCAAAAATCAGAGAGTGGGCAGGGTATTGCTGATAGGCCTGACCATGTTGCTTGTTGGCAGAATGTGTGTTTGAGGATTTTTAATTATAGAAGCATTTTCTTTCACTTTAAACACTTTAAAGTGTTCCTTTCACTTTTTTTTTTCCTTTCTTTTCACTTGTTAAGCCATACTAGTAGGAGCATGGGAGACAGTGGTGCTGAGAACAGTATAGATTATGTTGGCCCCATTGAAGGGGTTTAGAGGGGAAGAATATTAGTAAGTGCCCTAGAGACCATTCTTATGATATTTTTTGGAAAAAAATATGTTTTTGTCCAAAAACATCTGCCTGAGGATAAATGAAGAGTTTAGGATTAATGGCATTGGCAGAGGAGATTTCAAAATAGCCTAGTATTAACTGTGCTGCTTCATTATTAGTGGTCAGTGTTATGCAGACCTATGGTGAAAAGGAGCAGGCTGGACAAAAAGAAATACAAAATGTACAGTTTAAGGTAAAAGAAGCATCAGGAAGTGTAATGATCTAAGTTCAATGCGAAAAGATGAAAAGTTTAAAGTATAGCCTGATACTAAGTGGAAAAAAGGGGAGTTATGATCTCAGGGTAAGTCCTCACCACGCTAAGATTCAACCTGTAGAAAGAAGTTAAAGAAAAGCTTAACCAGTGAAGGAAACCATCAAAAACAGAAAACTGATGTAAATGTAATTGGAAAAAAAATGGGCTGAGTTTCAGTTCCATCAAGCAACAGAACTTAGCAGCTACGGCATCATGGTTCCTTCTGGCTGTAGAGTGAAAGATACAAGAAAGAGGCTGTGGAATCTTTCTTTGTGGCTAAGAAAAACTGCTGAGACCAGGCATATGTCGGGGGTGTCCCCGATGGAGGCCCAAAGAGGCCATTGTGTGAAGCTGTGAAGGAGAAACCTGGATTCTGTTGTAGGATCCAAGATGTTCAGGTTGCCAGAGCCATAGAAATCCTGCCAAGGAAAGTTGCAGAGCAAGTATGGAACCAGACCAAGAGAGAGAAGTTTGCTGCAAAGCTGAAAGAAACTAGAGACCTGAAGAACCCTTTGACATTAGACATGGAGATGCAGAATTTGTAATTTGTCCTGCTTATTTTGGGTGTTGCTTAGGTCCAGAATTTCACCAGTATGTTCCATTTCTTCTCTTCTGGAATGGTAATAGATATTCCATGCCACAGGACATTGGAAGTATGTGTTCTGTTTTTTATTTTATTTTTATTGGAGGTTACAGTTAGGAGAAGCCATGAGCCTCACAAGAGACTTTGAACATTAAAAATGTTGAGCGTATGATAGACTATGGGGACTTTTGAAATTGGACTCAGTGTAGTTTTGAATTATGATATGGCTACAAGCCTTTAGGAGTCAGGGAGTGGAATGTGGTGGATCGATTAAGAATGGCTCCTATAGGCTCATATATTTGAATCTCAGTCACCAGAAAGTGGAAACTCTGATAGGATTAGGAGGATTATGAGGTGTGGCTTTGTTGGAGGAAGTGTGTCACTGGGGATGAAGAGGTAAAGCTCTGGGGTTTCAAAACATCATGCCAGTGCCTTGTCAGGTTCTCTCTAACCCTCTCAGGGCCGGCAGATCAGAATGTAGCTCTAGGATACTGCTCCAGCACCATGCTCCTTACCATGATGATATGAACTAAGCCTCTCAAACTGTAAGCAAGCCCCTGATTAAATGCTTTCTTTTATAGAGTTGCCTTGATTGTGATTTATCTTCACAGCAACAGAATAGTGACTCAGATGGGAACCTTTTGCATTTACTTTGTTATTGTGAGGAAATTACAGGTTAATGCTGGATGTGCACCAACAGTATAGAAAGGTCTGTCGCTGCTCTCCAGTTTCCCTTGATGATTATATTTTACACATTACACATTGATCTCAAAACAAGGACACTGTCATTGATACAGTTTATGTGTCTATGCAGTTTTATCCTGTATAGATTTGTATAAAGACCACTGTAATCTCAGTAAAAACAAAAAACAAAAACTATTGAATCACCACAATGATTTTCAAGCAACCTTCTCACCACCATCCCTGGTTGCTATATGTACTCCAGTTCTGTATTTTTCAGCATAGTTATTTTCTGTTGCAGGGGAAGCATTATATTTATTTGTATTCACCAGTGTTGGTATTGGAACTTCAAAACAGAGTTAAATTATCCATGTATTAATTTCCTTTCAGTGCTCAATAATTACACTACAGTACACCAAGAATTTTCTACATTCCAGGCAAAGTTTGCAGTCCTTTAATGTAATAATAGTAAGATGTTATCAATAATCCTATGACTTATATTGTTAACCTATTTAACATAACTGAAAATTGAAGTTTGGAAGGGCAGGAAAATAATTTACCCAAGGCTACATAGTTGGTGGTTCTGGGATTCAAAGACATGTGAACCTATGAATTTACAAACAGATTATAGCACCTCCATTTTAGATAGGTAGCATCTCGGAAGAAGGCAACTGCTGTCCTCCGGAGCAGCGTGAAGATCGGTATTCACCATCTGGGATGCGTCCATTAGTGCCCTACTTAGCTGCTGCCTTGAAAGATAACTATTTTTCAAATGACATGAAAGTTAGACATCTCAAGGCAACTTGGCCCCATTAACATTTGAAACCGACCTTTGGGAGAAAATCATTTAACTCAGAAACCTGAACTGTTAAAAAAAAAAAAAAAAGATTTGGAAACTGGGATTTCTCCAAGGAGTAACAATTAGCATTCTTTGTAAGAAATTTGAAAACAAGCCATAACAGCCTGAAGTAAAGTTTTATGTGATGAGACAGGGGAATCTAGCAGTGACATCTGTCCCCACCCAGGAGAAAAAGAAAGCTATGCCTCTGAGGGACTTTCCAAACAGAGAGTCAGGAAATCAAGGTAGGCTTGGGATTCTAGAAATGTGTTGAGGGACACTCAACTTCTATCACTATTTATTGTTCTAGAAAGTTATTTATTGTCCTAGTAAGCACTTCATTTACAATTTTTTTAATATCTGGGAATTTTTAAATGTCAGTTTGGGAAGTCATCATTCTCCATGCCACTTCTCTCTCTCTCACTCTTTCTCTCTCTCACACACACAGACACACACTCACATGCACCCTCGCATGTGGACATACTGATGATACTTGAAGAAAAAGAAAGAAACGGTGTCAGGGTGTTTTGACTTAGTATGGTGCTGGAATGTCACTAGGGGAAGGCAGACTTGTGGTCTGGAGTTGAGGTTCATTTCTTTGGATTTTGACAGCCTTTATCAAAATTAGTAAATTTACATAAACTTTAAAAATGATCATAATCAGAAACATGCAGTGATTACATGTATAGAAACTGATTTTTCTTTCTTTTCCTTCCTCCCTCCCTCCCTCCCTCCCTTCTTTCTTTCTTTCTTTCTTTCTTTCTTTCTTTCTTTCTTTCTTTCTTTCTTTCTTTCTTTC